AACTGAATTTTGTGGAGTAATGTAATCTTCTTTGACAAATGAGGACCTGAAATAGATAAACTGTTGAAACATTTGTTAAATTGCCTGTGGTAAGGCTTTTCATCTAATGTTTTTAATTAGCTACCTAATATATTAAAATGTTTTTTATAATGCTAATATGGTGACTTTACTATCTATCAAGTCAGCAAAATTTGCAATTATTTACCTTTACAAAATTAATTTACTTATAGCTTTTTTGACATAATCACCATACATTAATGTAATATAATTACCACATATTAAGGTATAATTTCTATAATACTCATCCATTGTAAGCCTACAATTCAAAGATTTTTAGTTCATTTATAGAGTTGTGCAACATCACTACAATCTAGTTTTAGAAAATTTTATCACTATAAAGTTCCCTCTGTGCCCATTTGCAGATAGATTTGCCCTTTCTAGACATTTCTTAAGTGGAATCATACAATATTTGATCTTTGGTATCCGGCTTCTTTCACTTGGCATAATACAGGGACTACATCTATGTTGTAACATGTTTCAATAGACGTTTCTTTCTATTGCTGAATAGTATTCCATTAAATAGAGAGTAACACATTGTCTTTTATCCATTCACCAGCTGATGGACATTTAGATTATTTCTAATAATGCTACTATGAACATTACCATTCAAGTCTTTGTGTTAATGTGTTTGCAGTCCTCTTAGGTAGGTACTTAGTTTAATTTCTGTGTTGCACTGTAAGTTTGTCTTTTACTCTTTAAGAAACTTTTCAAAGTGGCTGAATCGGGGATCCCTGGGTGGTGCAGCGGTTTGGCGCCTGCCTTTGGCCCAGGGCGCGATCCTGGAGACCCGGGATCGAATCCCACGTCGGGCTCCCGGTGCATGGAGCCTGCTTCTCCCTCTGCCTGTGTCTCTGCCTCTCTCTCTCTCTCTCTCTCTCTCTCTGTGTGTGACTATCATAAATAAATAAAAATTAAAAAAAAAAGTGGCTGAATCATTTTAAATTTTTATCAACAGCCAGTGTATGAGTGTTGCACTTTCTCTACATCCTTTCTAACATTTGTTATAGTTTGCCCTTTAAATATTAGCCATTCTAATAAGTATATTATTGTACCCTCAGCATGGTTTTAATTTGCATTCCCCTAATGAATAATGATAATGCGTATCTTTTCACATGCTTATTATCCATTTGTATATCCTTTCTGTGAAAGGTCTATCCAAATCCTTTGCCCAATTTTTAGTTGATGTTCTTTTTTTTTCTTTTTTAAGATTTTATTTATTTGTTCATGAGAGACACAGATAGAGGCAGAGGCAGAGGGAGACCAGGCTCCATGCAGGGACCTTGATGTGGGACTTGGTCCCAGGACCACAGGATCATGACCTGAGCCGAAGGCAGATGCTTAACCGCTGAGCCACCCAAGCGTTCCTTTTACTTGGTGTTCTTATCACTGAGTTTTATTTTTTTTTTTAATTTTTATTTATTTATGATAGTCACACAGAGAGAGAGAGAGGCAGAGACATAGGCAGAGGGAGAAGCAGGCTCCATGCACTGGGAGCCTGACGTGGGACTCGATCCCGGGTCTCCAGGATCCCGCCCTGGGCCAAAGGCAGGCGCTAAACCGCTGCGCCACCCAGGGATCCCTATCACTGAGTTTTAAAGGGTTGTTTATATCTTTCAGATACAAAAAGCTCTTTATAAGATGATTTGTAAATATTTCCTCCCAGTCTGGCTTGTCTTCCTTTTCTTGGTAGTGTTTTGTTTTTTTTTTTAAGTTTTTATCGAGATAATTGAGAGAAATGATGGAAAAATCCTTAGTACATTTTGTCAAATTACAATAAAGTATCACCACAGAGATACTGACATTAATAACAATCCATTCATCTTATTCCTCAGTTCTCCTTATACTCATTTGTGTGTGTGTATTTAGTTCCATACAATTTGTCACATGTGTAGGTTTGTGATTCAACCACCACAGTTAAGATACTGAGCAATTCCATCACTGCTGGGGTCCCTCATATTGACATTTTATAATCACTTCCTTCCCACTCCCACGTCCCCTTCCCAATCTCTGGTATCCATTAATCTGTACTCTGTATCTAAACTCTTGCCGTTTCAAAAATGTTACTGAATGGGGCACCTGGATTGGCTCAGTGTTTGAGTATCCGCCTTTGGCTCAGGTCATGATCCTGGTGTCCTGGGGTCGAGTCCCACATCAGACTCAGAGTAGAGAGCCAGCTTCTCCCTCTGCCTATGTCTTTGTTTCTCTCTCTCTGTGTCTCATGAACAAAGAAAATCTTTTTTAAAAAAGTTATTGAATGGAATCATATGGTATATAAAATTTCAAAATTGTTTTTCACTACTACTCAGCAGAACTATCTGGAGGTTCACCTGAGGTGCGCATATTGATCTTTCCTTTTGAGTGCCGAGTAGTATTCCATTGTATATATGTATCATAAATATAGTTTGTGTAACCATTTATTTACTTACCTGTTGAATGACATTGGGCTGATTTCAGTTTTTCATAATTATAAGTAAAACTGCTACGAACATTTTGTTTGTAGGTATCTGTGTAAACATACATTTTGCCCAAGAGTGTAAGTTTTTGTGCATGGTAATTGAATAGTTTTTTTGTTGTTGTTTGTTTTTTAAGGAAATTCTAAGCTGTTTTCCAGATTGGCTATACCATTTTATATTCCCACTAGCAGTGTATGAGTGATCTAGTTACTCCACGAATTCACCAGCATTTGGTGTTGTAACTATTTTTAATTTTAGGTATTCTGATGAGTATAATAATAATAGGTGATAAATATTTCACTGTGGTTTTACTTGCATTACTCTAATGTCTAATGGTGTTGAACATCTTTTCATGGGCTTATTTGCTATTTGCATATCCTCTTCGTTGAAATGTCTATTCATGTCTTGAAACCCATTTTCTGACTGGGTTTTTAATTTAAAAAAAAATTTGAGGGGCTGCCGATTGGCTCAGTCAGTTAACCATCTGACTCTTGATTTCAGCTCAGGTCATGATCTCAGGGTCCTGGTATCAAGCCCCTTGTAGGGCTCCCTATGCAGCGTAGAGTCTGCTTGTTGTCTTCTGCCTCTCCCCCTGTCCTCTCTCTCTTACCCTCTCTCTGTCAAATACATAGAATAAATCTTTTAAAAAAATTTTTGGGGAGTGCTGCCTAGGTGGCTCAGTTGGTTGGTCATCTGACTTGATTTCTGCTCAGGTTGTAATCTCAGTCTCAGGATTGTGAGCTCAAGCCCCATGTCAGGCCCTGAGCTGTGTATAGGGCCTGCCCAAGATTCTCTCCCTCTCCCACTGCCCACCCCCCGACCTCTAAAAAAATTTTTTTAAATATTTTATTTTTAGTTAATCTCTACGCCCAAAATGGGGCTTTAACCCACAATTTGGAGATCAAGAATCACATGTCCAAAAAAAAAAATCACATGTCCCACCAACTGAGCCAGCCAGGCTCCCTGCTAAATTGGAGCTTTAAAAATTAATTGTGGTTTGAAAGTTCTTAATATGTTTCGGACACTAGTCCTTTGTCACAAATGTGGTTTGCAGTCTGTAGCTAGATTACCTTCCTGGTCTGTAGCTTATCTTCTTAAATGGGCTTTTTTTTTTTTTAAGATTTATTTTTTTATTATTTTATTTTATTTTTTTTAATTTATTTATGATAGTCACAGAGAGAGAAAGAGGCAGAGACATAGGCAGAGGGAGAAGCAGGCTCCATGCACTGGGAGCCCAACGTGGGATTCGATCCTGGGTCTCCAGGATCGCGCCCTGGGCCAAAGGCAGGCGCCAAACCACTGCGCCACCCAGGGATCCCTTTTTAAAAGATTTTGAGAGAGAGAGAGAGAGAGAGAGAGAGAGAGAGCAAGCAAGTGTGCACACACATACATGAGCAGGGAGGAGTGGCAAAGGAAGAGGAGAAGCAGACTCCTCACTAAGCTGGAAAGCCTGACATGTATAAGGCTCAGTCCCAGAACCCTGAGATCATAACTTGAGCTGAAGGCAGATGCTTAACTGACTGAACCACCCTGGTGCCACTTCTCTCTCTCTCTCTCTCTCTCTCTCTCTCTCTCTCTCTCTCTCTTTTTAAAGATATATTTATTTGTTTATTTGAGAGAGAGCATGAGTAGGAGGAGCAGAGGGAGAGAAAATCTCAGGCAGACTCCATGCCGAGCATGGAGCTGGATGCAGAGCTCAATCTCAGGATCCTGAGATCATGACCTGAGCTGAAACCAAGAGTTGGGCACTTAACCAACTGTCCCACCCAGGTGCCCGTTTATCTGGGCTTTTGCAGGGGAAATGTTTTTAATTTTGATGTGGTCTAATATATTTATTAATTTTTCCTTTTATGCATTTTACTTTTGTGATAATTTTAAGAACATTTTGCTTAGCTTTAAATGTCCCTACCTTTTTAAGTTTTGTGTTTCTACGTTTCATATTTGAGTCCATGATCCATTTTTATTTTTGTATAAGGTGTTAAGACTTAGGTCAAATCTTTTCACCTTTGGAGTGTCTGGCTTGTTTTAGCATTCTTTGTTGAAATGTTATACATTTTCCATTGAATTGATTTTGCACCTTTGTTAAAAAATCAGTAGGGTATATTTATGTGGGCACCTCTCTGGGTTCTCTTTTTCTGTTCCATTGATTTAATATGTCCCTCCATTAATACCACACAGTTTTAATTACTCTAACTATGTAACAACTCTTGGATTCAGGAGCCCCTGGGTAGACCAGTTGTTTGGGTACCAGACTCTTGGTTTCAGCTCAGGTTATGGTCTCAGGGTCTTGGGATCTAGCCTTGTGTTGGCCTGCCAGCGCAGCGAGAGTCTGCTGTGGTTTCTCTCTCCTTTTGCCCCTCCCCATGCTCACTTGTTCTCTCTAAAATAAATCTTTTTAAAAATAACGGGGTGCCTGGGTGGCATAGTTGGTTAAGTGTGATGCTTGATTTTGGCTCAGGTCATGATTTCCTAGTCCTGAGATCAAGCCCTGTGGCGGACTTCGTGCTTAGCTTGGAGTCTGCCTGAGATTCTCTTTCTCTCTCCCTCTGTACCTCTCCCCTGCATGCACATGCGCCCTCCTTCCCTCAAATAAATAAATCTTTAAAATAATAAAAATAAATAACTCTTGGGATCAGGCAAACAGATTAAAAGGAAGTTTATGTGAGGAAACCTCTTTCTTCATAAAAAGTCTAAAAATTGTCAGGACCTGAGGAAAACTACAGTGATTTTATACTTATTATTTTAAAAATACCAAGCTTTTTAATAAGCACTCACCCAACTTAGACACTTGGATTTTTGAATCCTAATGTTATTATTAAACCTAAATATATTTAAGAATACTTCTTTAATATGTTAAAATATTCAGTTATTGTTTAAATTTCAATTGTATGTTTTTTAAAATGGTTTTAGGATCCAAACAAAGTTTGCCCTTTGCAATTTTCTTCAATGTCTTTAGATCTGAATACATATGTTCTCTTTTTATCATTTTTCCCTCTATATTTGTGGAAGTCCTTATATTAATTCGTCCTACAGAATTTTCCTGTAGTATCTTTTGACATGTTCCATTCTATTTTCTGTAAATTGGTAGTTGGATTTTTTTTTTTTTTTTTTTTTTTTGGTAGTTGGATCTTGAAGCTTATTAGGAGATTCAGGTTTTTTCTTATTTATATATTTTTGGCAAAACTACTTCATAGGTGTTGGTATGTTCTCCTACCAGGAAGCATATAATGCCTGGTTCTTTATTTGTGAGTAATTAATGATATTTAGTGACTTGATCCATTAGTTTTTAAGAGTTCCAGAATGGTAACTTTCTAATTCAATTGTTTTTCTTTTTCTTTTTCTTTTTTTTTTTTAAGATTTTATTTATTTATTCATGATACACACACACACACACACACACACACACACACACAGAGGGAGAGGGAGGCAGAGACACAGGCAGAAGGAGAAGCAGGCTCCAGGCAGGGAGCCCCACGCAGGATCCCAATCCCAGGACTCCAGGATCACGCCCTGGGCCGAAGGCAGGGCTGAGCCACCCAGGGATCCCCTCAATTGTTTTTTCTTATTGATTGTAAGACTACCTCTGTAAAGAGGAACTTTCAGTTTCTGAAGTATATAGTGCTTATAGGAAAGGCAGTACAAATGCTGATACATTTCTTTAATTTGAGAGTTTTTAGAATAAGTTGGTTTCCTCACCTTTTTTTTTTAAAGATTTTATGTATATGGGAGAGAGAGAGAGAGAGAGAGACCCCATGTGTGCATGCGCACAAGCAGAGGGAAAAGCAGATTTCCCGCTGAGCAGGGAGCCCAACTCAGGGGCTGATCCCAGGTCTCTGGGATCATGAACTGAGCTGAAGGCAGACAACCAACTGAGCTACTACCGAGGTGCTCCAGTTTCCTCGCTTTCTTAATGTCATTATAAACTCATGGACCTACTTGTGATATCCTTATTGATGTTTGAATCATCCCATCTTGGGCCAGTGGGTAACTCTTTAAGGGTGTTCTTGAGTCCTTTTTACTAGTCTAACAGTCTAGGCTTTGTTAGCTTCCTTGTTCTATTTTGTTTGACAAGGTGTTCAAGGTTTATCTTACATGTCTCTCGCTCCGGTCCTAGAGTCAGACACTTCTCTAAGGAATCCTGGTTGCTTTTAATGTGAAATGCTATTTGGACACCAACTTGGTTACTGGAAGTTGTATTTTTTTCTTCATTATATTTTTATAATGCGTGTATTTAAAGGAGCTTTGAAAGTTGACTCTATTCTAAACAAATTAATATTGAATGAAAAGTGTGATTATGACTTTTTATTCTTTTTTATGCTTTAAAAAACATAAAAGGGGGATGCCTGGGTGGCTCAGTGGTTAAGCGTCTGCCTTTGGCTCAGGGTGTGATCCTGGAGTCCTGGGATCAAGTCCCACATCGGGCTCCCTGCAGGGAGCCTGCTTCTCCCTCTGCCTATGTTTCTGTCCCTCTCTCTCTCTCTGTGTCTTTCATGAATAAATAAAATCTAAAGAACAAAGTAAAACATAAAAGGGCCTAAGTACTTATTTTATCTATTACATATTCTCTCCAAAATAAATGAAAAAAACCTTAAATACTGAATTGATACCTATAATGTTATTCTTCTGTAGGAATATACAGAAGAGATAGAGCGTCTGAAACGAGATCTTGCTGCAGCCCGTGAGAAAAATGGGGTGTACATTTCTGAAGAAAATTTTAGGTAAGCCCTTGGCTATGGAAATTAATTTCCAAAAATAATCATTTTTTGGTAAGGTGTTTGAAGTAAAATTTACTTATGTGACAATAACTAAAATCTTTATATCTAGTGCTTCCTATAAGTGCTTCTTTTTCTTTTAACATGAATAAGTAGTTACCAAATAGTTAAAAAAAATTTTATATAGCTTTAATTTTTAAATAATTATAGATTCACATGAAGTTGTAAGAAAAGCACAGAGAGGTCCCACAATTTTTCACTTGCTTTTCCCATTCATTACCTCTTGCATAACTTTAGTATAACATCAAAACTGGGAAATTAACATTGGTACAATGTGCATATATAATTGGATGCCATTTTGTCTCATTTGTGGATTGGTGTAGTTCTACAATTAAGATACAGGACTATCCTACCATTACAAAGATCTCCCTCTTGCTGCCCCTTTGTAGTCATACTCATCCTTCTTCCCTAGTGGTACCTAACCTTTAGCAACCACTAATTTGTTCACTTTTTAAAGCTCTGGAGTAGTTTATTCAAAGGAAATCTACTGAAGTTTTATGTAGAAACAATAACAACAGATTGAACAAGGGTCCGAAGGTGAGTGGGATGCCAAGAATTTTAAGTTGAAAATTCCTGCTTGCGTTTATTCTTGAAGGCATTAAGAAGAGTGACTTTCACAGTGCATTTTATTTTTTTAAAGATTTTATTTATTTATTTGAGAGAGAGACAGCAAGGGGGGGGTGGTGGGTAGAGGAAGAGGGATAAGGGGAGGTCTATGTGGGACTTCATCCCAGGACCCTGAGTTCATGAACTTAGCCAAAGGCATGTGCTTAACTGACTGAGCCATCCAGGTGCCCTCACAGGGCATTTTTAAAAAATAATGAGGGATCCCTGGGTGGCTCAGCGGTTTAGCACCTGCCTTTGGTCCAGGGCGCGATCCTGGAGTCCCGGGATCGAGTCCCACATTGGGCTCCCGGCATGGAGCCTGCTTATCCCTCTGCCTGTGTCTCTGCTTCTCTGTCTCTATGTCTATCATAAATAAATAAATAAATCTTTAAGAAAAAGTAAATGATAAAAGGTATTTAGAACTAATTGATAATAATGAAGAGCATTTTAGCGTCATCTTTTTTTTTTTTTTAGCGTCATCTTTTATGCAACTTTTTTTACAGGCGATACATGTAATTTTACATTACATGATCGTTCTGGGATGCTTGGATGACTCAGTGGTTGAGAGTCTTCCTTCGGCTCAGGGCATGACCCCAGAGTCCTGGGATCAAGTCCCGTATCGGGTTCCCCGCAGGGAGCCTGCTTCTTCCTCTGCCTATGTCTTTGCCTCTCTCTCTCTCTCTATCTATCTCTCATGAATAAATAAATAAAATCTTTTAAAAAATTACATGATCATTCTGATAATAGATAAATCATTTATTTAAACTCATTTTCTTGGGGCACCTGGGTAGTTCAGTCAGTTAAGCGTGTGCCTTCAGCTCAGGTCATGATGGTCAGCAGCAGAGCAACTACTCTCATCCACATACAGTAGTAGGTGAGAGGCTGCCTGTCCTTTAACCATCAAACCTGGGGGGAAACATCACTTATTGATTCGATTAGGTCTGAGCTGTGCCATATATGAACCAATAACTGTTAAAAGGAGTCGAATTTCCCTGATTGTCTTGAGCCAGTCAAGCTTAGTTCCTGGATCTGGGGATGGAGTCCGATTCCCTCCACACAGCTTAGCTTCTACAGTCAGGAGGGAGTCATTTCCCAAAGGAAATGTGGATTTCCCCCACATTACCCAAAGGAATTGGGTGCTTAGTAGGCAATCAGTGAAAGAGTGAACAAGTGTTTTTGTACTATGATTTGCTAATGTAGTATCTTCTGCTGTTGTCAAATATTGGACATTAGGGACTGATTATCTTATTTTCTTACCTTCTGTTGACTATTGCTTTGATGTATTTTAGATTAAGAAAATTTGTAAAGTTGGGCAGCCCTGGTGGCGCAGCGGTTTAGCACCGCCTGCAGCCTAGGGCGTGATCCTGGAGACCCAGGATCAAGTCCCTCGTCAGGCTCTCTGCATGGTGCCTGCTTCTCCCTCTGCCTGTGTCTCTGCCTCTCTCTCTCTCTCTCTTTCTCTCTCTCTCTCTCTCTCTGTGTGTCTCTGAATTAAAAAAAAAATTTATAAAGTTATAAATAAATACTAAATTTTAATTTGTCAATCCCATGATTAAAAAGACAATATTCTTTTTTTTTTTTTAAGATTTTATTTATTCATGAGAGACACAGCAAGGCAGTGACATAGGCAGAGGGAGAAGTAGGCTCCCCAGAGGGAGAAGTAGGCTCCCCGGAAGGAGCCTGATGTGGGATTCAACCCCCAGACCCAGGATCATGCCCTGAGCCACAGGCAGATGCTCAGCCACTGAGCCACCCAAGTATCTTGACGTTGTTTGCTCTTCATAAACATGAGGCATAATCTGAGAGTTCTTAGTGAAACACTTTTGGAATTATTACGCTGTAAGAGAAGGATTAGGAAAGCTGCAGCCAACATTTAAAATGAGATAATGCTTTTTTTACTCCAAGCTTAATAGACCTTTTAAAATTTCATCAAAACTGTATCATCCATGAAATAACAATGTTGCATTACCTTTTACACATTCAATATAAGAAAAGCATTTCAGATATCTCATTCTATATTAAAGAGCTATTTCCAGGAAAGAACTAATATAGTTCATGGGAAGACTGTCAGAATTAACTATCCTTTTATACTTCAGTTCTAGCTTTTTCCTTAATCACCAGTATCTCTAGTAATTTGAGGAAATTGGCATTCTCAAAAGTATCTTTGTCATTTAAGCATAGTGTGAAATAGAAAATTGTTGGTTATGAAGGCACTAGAGTATAAAAGATAGTACATACTTTGGGAACTTGCTAATGCTAAAGAAATCAGAGATCCATTATTTGATTTATTTATTTTTAAAGATTATTCATTTATTTATTCATGAGAGATAGAGAGGCAGAGACATAGGCAGGCAGAGAGAGAAGCAAGCTCCATGCAGGGAGCCTGATGCAGGCTCCATCCTAGGACTCCGGGATCATACCCTGAGCCAAAGACAAATGCTCAACCCCTGAGCCACCCAGGCATCCCAATCAGAGATCCATTAAAGTGGGCCAGAATTATCTAAAGTGGACCAAAATGTCAGTAGTACTGAGGCTGCAGAACTGTGTTCTAGAGGATAATCCTTTGAGCTCATGAAGATTTTTGTGGTGGTATGATGGTGGAATGTTTTGAGGTGTATATTGGGGTATGTATGCAGGGAGCAGGAGGTATAATTGCTTTGTATATATACTTTAACTTCTCTAGTTTTTAGCCCCTTATCTCATCCCTTCCTCCTGTGACACTTGATGCCTTCAAGTCCCAAGCCTTTCCTAGATTCTGTGGGTTTGTATTCCTTATTCCTGATAGCAGACACTTAAGTGTCTTAAGTCTGCACTTAAGTCTGCCCCCATCTCTACTTTATGTGAGTTACAGTCCTTTGTCAGCTTTGTACCTTCACAAATTTTATATATATACATGATTTTTTTCCCTCATTGGTAGGGATTCTCAGTTTCAAAATGGAGGTCGCAAGATCAGCCTGTTTATAAAACAAGAACAAGGAATACATTCATGTTTTGTAATTTGTATGTATTGCTTTTGACACTTTGGCATGATTATTGTAGTGATAAATGGTAGAGAGGACGTGTAACTGCCACATTACGTTAGAATACATTTTAAAGGTATTAGGAAAAATATTAACTGTTAAACTTATATTATTTTAGAGCCATGAGTGGAAAACTAACCGTTCAAGAAGAACAGATTGTAGAATTGATTGAAAAAATTGGTGCCGTTGAGGAGGAGCTAAGTAGGGTAAGCATTTTAAGATTTTTTATTTATTTTTTTTTAATTTTTTAAAGATTTTATTATTTTTAAGTAAGCTTTACACCCAACATGGGGCTTAAGTTTACAAAATTGAGACCAAGAGTTGCATGCTCTACTGATTAAGCCAGCCAGGTGCCCCTAAAGATTTTTTATTTTTAAGTAATGTCTATATCCAGTGTGGCACTTGAACTTAACATCCCTAAAACCCTAAGATCGAGACTCTTATGCTTTACTGACTGAGCCAGCCAGGTACCACCACCACTCCCCATACCACCACCACTCCCCCTCCCCCCTTTTTTTAACGTTCTTTTAATTTGTACTAAATCTTTTAAATCCTATGTGTGCTTCATCTGTATATCTCAATTCAGATAAGCCACTTTTTTTTTTTAATAGGCTTCCTGCCCAACATGGGGCTTGAACTCATAACCCTGAGATCAAGAGTCACATGCTCTACCAACTGAGCCTGCCAGGCATCCCCCAATATTTTTTCTTTAAGATTTTTTTTTTCTTGCTGACTCTTATACTAAAATTAAGTTGTATCATAATTTCACTATAGTCCATGATGAAGAAACTGTCTATTTTGACATTTATATTAAGGCAACATTATAAGAAATTAACTGAATTGTGCCGTTTTGTTGTTGAAGCTAAATAATGGACGCTGAGACATTTTCATTACTGTGTTTATCAGATGAGAGAATGTAGATGTTAGGAGAAACTAGATGTTGAATAACTAAGGTGGAGAGATGTGACCTTTCTGTGCCACCCTCACAGTGTCAATGTTGAAAGGAACGTGAAGAACTAATAACACCACAGTATACCTGTTATTTAATTTCAAAGTTTTTAATGAATTTACAGGAAGAGACCAGATACCGTATAAAATGTGCTAATCTCCATGATAACTTGTTAGAACTTTTGTGGGGAAATAATTTGTTTAATTCTTCTGTTACATCATGAACTAGCCAGATGTTTCACCAAGCAGTTCAGCATTTTGTAATTCTTTAAAAAAAAATGTTAAATATGTTATATTTAGGTTACAGAGTTGTTTATGGACAGTAAAAATGAACTTGACCAGTGTAAATCTGACCTGCAAAATAAGACACAGGAACTTAAAACCACTCAAAAACATTTGCAAGAAACTAAATTACAGCTTGTTGAAGAAGAGTATATTACATCAGCTTTGGAAATTACTGAAGAGAAACTTCATGATGCTGCCAGCAGGGTTTGTCTTTTATTTTGATTTGTACTTGCATTAAAAAATTATAAATTGGTAAAAGTACGTTTCTTTGCTTAAGCATTAATTGTGAGATTCTATTTATTCACACCAAATGATATTTCTGTCAGTTTAAGGAACATTACTTTACTATTTCATCTGAATTTTCCTTGCTAGAGTTTTCGACTTAAGAAAAAACCATTCCTGAAATTTTGTAAATAGAAGATGATTTTAATGTACTTTGGGGACATTTAAAATAAGGATACAATACTTTCCCTTTTGGTCATGATTGTAACTAATCAGTCATAAAGAATTGAGTGCCTTCTAATGATGGGAGGAAACAGTAACACATAATAGAAAAACTTGTGAGGAGGCATAATTACTCTATTAGGTTGGCAAAAGTCCCTTTTCCTTATTTAGATTGTTAGATGAGGGGAAATTACTGGGCAACCAGATAAATTAGCATGAATTGAAAATGTGTTCTGATACAATGTCTAAAACTTACTAGTGTTCATCAGGAGAAATCCTTAGGTAGCACAGATATTTTCATTAGACTGCCTTTGTCATAATCTATTTTATCAATATTTATTTTTAAAAATCATACATAGTTGCTTACCACAGTTGAAGAAACTACAAAAGATGTGTCTGGTCTCCATTCCAAACTGGATCGTAAGAAGGCAATTGATCAGCACAATGCAGAAGCTCAGGATATTTTTGGCAAAAACCTAAATAGTCTCTTTAGTAATATGGAAGAATTAATTAAGGATAGCAGCTCAAAACAGAAGGCCATGCTAGAGGTTCACAAGACTTTGTTTGGTAAGTTCAAGTATCTCTAATTATTCTAGTCTTTGTCTTATTAGTGTGAGACTAATTTTGATGATTTAATATCTTAACTCAGGAACCATGTCACTAGTCCCCTCTACTGCACACAACTCTGTTCAGACTAGGGATCAATGCTTTTACAGCCTTTGAATTAAAACAAATCTTAGTTGGATTGGGGGTGTTTTGTTTTTGTCTTTGTTTTTTCTGTTTTCTATAAAGTAAGCTTTAACCAAAACCATTGTTGGTATCTTCATTTCGGGGAAAAAACTCTTAAGTGTTAGTTTTGTTTTTGTTTTTTTTTTAAGATTTTATTTATTTATTCATAGAGACAGAGAGAGAGAGGCAGAGACACAGGCAGAGGAAGAAGCAGGCATCATACGGAGAGCCTGACGGACTCGATCCAGGGTCTCCAGGATCACAGCCTGGGCTGTGCTAAACCGCTGCGCCACCGGGGCTGCCCAAGTGTTAGTTTTTTAATATGAAAGTGTTATCTTCACTATAGAAAATTTGTAAGATACAGAAACGTAAAAATTTGTAAAAATCACCTAGAGTCTAGCTGCTCTAAGCCAACCACTCTAAGTTTCGTTTATTGAGTTTATAACCTCTTTTACCTACTATAATACCGTGATTACCTGTAGCTAGGGATCAGAATAAATAATTCTTGTTTAAAAACATAAATAAATAATTCTTGTTTACCATGAACTATAGTGATGGGTCTGATACACTGACAAATAATGTCAGGTGCTTGCAGGAGACTCTAGAACACGTATAATTTCCATTTGAAATATTTCTTAGCGGCAGCCCCGGTGGTGCAGCGGATTGGTGCCGCCTGCAGCCCAGGGTGTGATCCTGGAGCCCCAGGATCGAGTCCCGAGTCGGGCTCCCTGCATGGAGCCTGCTTCTCCCTCTGTCTCTCTGCCGCTCTCTCTCTGTGTCTCTCATGAATAAATAAATAAGATTTTTATATATATAAATATATATATATATATATATATTTCTTAGCTTATGTAATGAGCCAATTATTTTAAGTTTATTTTTTATTAAAATTTCCACAGGATATAATTTCCTCAACCTCTTTAAAGTACTTCTAACTATATTAATATATTTATGTCAAAGTTTATATCTTTTTTTTTCTTTTTGGTATAGGTAACCTGCTGTCTTCCAGTGTCTCTGCATTAGACACAATTACTACAACAGCACTTGGATCTCTCACATCTGTTCCAGAAAATGTGTCTATACGTGTTTCTCAGATTTCTGATATGATATTAAAAGAACAATCATTTGCAGCAGAAAGTAAAATTATACTTCAGACCCTGATTGTTAGTAAATCTCTTAAAGTATTTTTGAAGTGTTACTTTGCTAAATCTTCAAAAATAGTATTAACTGCTCTCTTCTTTCATCTTAAGCTTTACAGACATGGTGATAAACATTTTAGGAGTATATAAACATATTTGTGTGTGTATGTGTGTGTATATACCTTTTTTTAAAAGGTTTTATTTATTTATTCATAAAAGACAGAGGCAGAGACACAGGCAAAGGTAGAAGCAGGTTTGCCACTGGGAGCCTGATGCAGGACTCAATCCCAGGACCCTGGGGATCACAACCTGAGCCAAAGGCAGGCACTCAACTACTGAGCCAACCAGGTGCCCCTAGATTTATATTTTTAAATCTCTCCAGTTTTCTTCCTCCCAGAAAGATTAATTTCCAAATGCATATAACCAACCTTTGCAACTTTTTTCACTTGTATCTTGTAACATTAAGAGCAGGAGTTTACAAAGCCTAATAACTTAAAGGGCAGGTTTAGCGCCAGATGAATTCAGGGAACCCATGAGTTGTTAGTTGGCTCAGAAGTTGGTAAATCATCCTTTCCTCAAAGGGTTCTGGAATGATTATGCTGATGTTACAGCTGACCCAATCAGAGGGGGTAGTAGATGGTTAATTTTTAAAACTATAGTAATATAGAAAATTTCAAGAAAAGAATTGCGAGAATTCTTATGGAGTCAGAGCTGTGGTCTTAACTGTAAGGCTCTTTTTCATAGTTCTATAGAAGACACTCCTCTCATTACTCCTTCATAACTGATTTGAATAATTATTTTGTAGTTTTAAGATTTGCCTAGAAAGTCCTTGGCCACATCACTTACTTGTTTTTCTTCTTTGTGTCAGCTCTCTGCCTCCCCTTTTGAGTCTAACAATATTTGTTGAACACTTTCCAAGTAGATAACTACAAATGTTCATTGACATCATCTGGATTCAGTGCTTATATGACACTGATAGATTTCTTCAGTCACCCAAGTTTGACAAAATTAATAGATGCTCAGTTGGTACTAATTTTTAGGAAATTGATTCATGCACTAAATGCAAGACTGTATTTATTGATGTCTTCCTACCAAGTTCTTTACCACCTTGTAAACTCTGCTGGAGTCAAAACAGATGACTACTGTTCCCACAGAATGAGTTTAAATAATGATAGCTTTTCTTTCCAAAAGAAAATAGCCTTTTTATTTCACTGTTCACTAATTGTTTCTATTAGAGTTCCTCACCTTGCCTGAGTGAAGGGAATTTAGGTCAGAGTTTTTTCTCTTCTTGTAAAAATTACCAATCTAAGAAAAAAAAATCCTAATCTGTATTTTCAACTTCATATATACCTTGACAGAAGAACCATGACAAGTTCTTCAGATACCATGGGCTAGAAGTCACCAGGTCTTCAAAGTTAAATACCTCCAGCTAAAAGCCTACCTTTGAAGGCTATTTGGTCTCAGCCCTTTTGACTAGTAACCTAAACTTGTTTGACATTTATTTTGTTAAATTATACTTGTACAGCTTCTTTAAAAATTCTCTTTATTTGCAATGCTGAAATCTTATCAAATGATTTTCCCCTCTTCTGAATTCCTTTGACTTCTGTTGCATTAGATTGTTAATCTATCGTATGCTACATGACCATTTTCTTAATTACTATAGGTGGGATTAAGTAATTTATGATGAATATAAACCCTAGAAACAAAAAGGCTCTATAGGCTATCAAGATTAGAGAATGGAAACAGAATTTCACTATGCACGTGTTAAAGTATTTGAGATACTATATGTAAACAGCTAGGTTTATGGAAGTGAAAATATTCTTTTTAACTAGGATGTACTTAAGACTGATCTTCTAACTTCACTGGAAACGGTTTTATCCCCCACTGTGGTGTCTATACTGAAAATCAACAGTCAACTAAAGCATATTTTCAAGACTTCATTGACAGTGGCTAGTAAGGTAACAAATGTTATGTTCTTAATTTCTCAAAATGAAATAGTTGTTTAAGAAAGAAATTCTGTCTGTGGCCACACCCTTATACATGCAAAAGTCATGGGCTGTGAGTTGGAATCTGGAGGAGGGAGGAGATAGCATGCTTGTTGCCATTGATGTGATGGACAGAATTATGGCTAAGAAAAAAGAGAATGATCTTTAAAATAAATGTTTGTTTACATAGTAGCACCTATAGCATGCTACCATGGGTGGGTGAAGAAGATATGCATATTCATGTATACATGCATTTGCATGCACATCTGCCTAAATGTGCATGAAATATCTCTGAAAGTATTTAAAAATGATAGCAATCATCTCAGAGGTGAGCGTGGCATTGGGTTCCAGGGGCTGGAGAGGGAAGACTTTTTTTCCTCTGGATACTGTTTTCTAGTTTGTATGTGTTCTGTATGTATTAAAAATAAACTAAATTTTTTTAATTAACTTTTCCCTTCAAAGATAGAAGATAAGAAAAAGGAAACGGATGGCTTTCTCAGTACACTGTGTAACAATCTACATGAACTACAAGAGAAAACAGTTTCTTCCTTGGCTGAATCACAGAAGCTATGTGAAAACTTAACTGAAGACCTGAAGAGAACAAAAAAAATCCATTCACAGGTATCTCATTTAGGTGATTCAGGGAGTGTAAAAAGGAAGTTTTATGATCTTTAACTTGATAATTCCTGTTCTGTAATCTGAATGTTGTTGAACTAATTTAGATAATTTAAAATACCATAGCCACTCTTCCTTATAACAATAATTAATACAAAATAATTAAAAATAGGGATCCCTGGGTGGCGCAGCGGTTTGGCGCCTGCCTTTGGCCCAGGGCGCGATCCTGGAGACCCAGGATCGAATCCCACGTCGGGCTCCCGGTGCATGGAGCCTGCTTCTCCCTCTGCCTATGTCTCTGCCTCTCTCTCTCTCTCTCTGTGACTATCATAAATAAATAAAAATTAAAAAAAAACATAAAAAAAAGTTTAAAAAAAAAAATAATTAAAAATAGTTTTCCTGACCAGTTAATATTTTAGGATTTGCTACATTTAGAACCCCATATGCTAAAGCAGTATAAGACAAACATGAGGAGGGGGGGACTTTTGGTTTCAGCTCAGGTCATGATCTCAGAGTCAGGAGATCCCAGGCTCCATCCCTGCATGGAGCCCAGTGTGGAGCCTGCTTAAGATTCTCCCCTTCTCCTTCTGCCCTATCCCCACCCCAGTTAGTTTGTACTCTCTAGCTCTCTCTCTCTCTCTCAAAAAAAAAAAAAAAATTAATTTGCTATAATTCAAATGTCTGACATCAAAGAGACAGAAATAGTAAGAGATATCAGGACATAGTTTATGAAAGAGAATAACTATACATGTTACCCTAGGGAAAAAAACATTATATCAAGCTATACTGTAGACATGGGCTCATTGTAAATGTTATAATGTTATAACTATTTTCTTCCAGTTGCACTCTCTAGCTTCATCTTTCATCTTGATGTGATGAAAGAATGGCCTTGTCTTTATTTGTTTATACATTTTTATTTATTTATTTTAAGATTTTATTTATTCATTTATGAGAGACACAAAGAAGCAGAGACATAGGCAGAGGGAAAAGCAGGCTCCTTGCAGAGAGCCCAATGTGGGACTTGATCCTAGGACCCTAGGATCATGTCCTGAGCCAAAGGCAGATGCTCAACTCCTGAGCTACCCTTATCTTTTCTTTTTTTTCTTTTTTTTCTTTTTTTTTTTTTTTTAAGATTTACTTATTTATTCATGACAGACAGAGAGGCAGAGATACAGGCAGAGGGAGAAGCAGGCTCCATGCAGGGAACCTGACACGGGACTCAATCCGGGGTCTCCAGGATCACACCCCAGGCCAAAGGTGGCAGGCACTAAACCGCTGGGCCTCCGGGGCTGCCCTTTTTTTTTTTTTTTTTTAAGATTTTTAAGATTTATTTTAGAGAGAGAGCGCGTGAGCTGGGAGAGGGACAGAGGGGAAGTGAGAGGCAGAAAATCTCAAGCAGACTCTGAGTGCAGAGCCTGACATGGGGTTTAAACTCATAACCCTGAGATCATGACCAGAGCCAGAATCAGGAATTGGACACTTAACTGAGCCACTGAGGCACCACAGTTAATACAATTCATAATTTTTATTGATTGATTGTAAATGTAATTCATGACTTTCCTTCCTCTTCCATGTAAGCTTTTTCTCAATGCATGAGGTTTTAAACTAAAACCAAACCTCCAAACCAGGGAAATCGTAATCTGTAACGATCAGATGTATAGAAAACAACTGGTATTCCTAAGGCCTGAGTAATGAATGTGCACACTTTTATTAAATGAGGCTAATTATTACATGACAAAACTCTTTGGTCAATAAAACAATTGACATAATTTAGTGAGTAATAAAACTTTCTTTTTCTTTGGAAGTAAGGAGAGGGGAATTCATATCCATGTCACCTAAAAGGAGAAAGGAAGCACATCCCAAGATTTTTACTTTTTTTTTTTTTTTTAATTTTTATTTATTTATGATAGTCACACAGAGAGAGAGAGAGGCAGAGACACAGGCAGAGGGAGAAGCAGGCTCCATGCACCGGGAGCCCGACGTGGGATTCCATCCCGGGTCTCCAGGATTGCGCTCTGGGCCAAAGGCGTGCCAAACCGCTGCGCCACCCAGGGATCCCACATCCCAAGATTTTTAGGCAAGAGTTAAAGCAACTTTGAATTACGAGTATTTGTTTCCCTAACTGATAAGCATGAAACTTTTTGGAGGAAAGCTTAACATCAGAAATTAGTAAAAATAATAGTTAACATTTCTTGAGCCACTCACCATGTGCTTATTCCTGTCATCAGTATAGCAACAGGTTTTATTACTAGCCTAGTTTTCTAATGAGGAAACCAAGGCCTTGAAAGCAGGAGTATTTAGATCCTCTAATAGGGTTAGTGGTGATTATAGGCCTGGAAGCATCCACTTTTGAGTGGCTCTTCTGTGTGTGTCTCTAGAACATATTCTTGCAATTTGAAATTGCTGCAGTTTCTCATACTTCTGCATCAACCTGTCTATAACTTTTTAAGTATACTTCTAAAATGGATCAGCTTTCATAGATTAGCTGTTTTGAAATGTTTAAAATTGATAAGCAACTGCTTAAAAACAAACACTATGATCCTAAAAGTATTTTAACTTGAATGATTTGACTTCCCTTGCTTTAGGGAAGTTAAATTTATTAAGTGAGCTGTTTCTCAGATATTCTAGAACTTAAAGTTACAAGACAATAATGTAAAACTCTAAACACCTATCTAAATGTAGATAAATCTGATAATACCTGCATTTTCCTCTACTTTGAGACTAGTAAAAATACTGACAGGCTTTATTCACGATCAGTATTGGATATGTATTGTCAGCTGATGTGTATTTTAGAGGTGTTCAACCAATGGGCTGAACAGTGAATAAGAATGCTGGGTGCATGTTTAGCTCTTTCTTGGTCTGTAGTGTAGCTTCTTCATTTTATAAGGTTAAATCCTTATCACATTGTGTGCCTTATAAGAGCTTGTTTTCAAAGATGCCAAGTATGAGCAAAAATAAAATTATATTTTACTAATATGATCCAACTAGATTCTGTAAAATGTTTCAGTTTAAGTAATTAATACTATTTTTGGACTGCTTGACCCATCACGTAATCAGCATTACTTTTCTCTTCTAATAGTCTTATCAGTTAAGAAGCAGCTGATGCTGTATACCTGTCACAGTGGTTCTAGCATAATGTGACATCTTGGTATATTTGCTTAGTTTTGAGGTACACTGAAATTAATTTGTTACTAATTAATAGTAAAGATAGCAAAGTTCACTAATTATTTACTTTCAGAAAAATTCCTTTAATATTATCCTTTTAAAAATTATTTACACTGCTTTCCTCTGTGGGTGAGAAGTAGAATTAAAGACCTCATGTCAAGAATTTATATAATTCTCAACTATGGGAAAATATTTCATGTCAATATAGAAGAAAAATTCAGGTGTGATAATTTCAACTTCTTCCTCTCCCACACCTTTCTTACAGGAACTTTGCCAGTTAATCAATCTTTGGGCAGAACGATTCTGTGCCTTGGAGGAAAAGTGTGACAATATCCAGAAACCACTTAGTAGCATCCAAGAAAATGCACAACAGTAAGCAGTTTTTAATTCTCTTTAATTTTCTCTGCCTGAAATTATTTCAGAATCTAAGGCTTCAAACAGTACAAATACTATCAACCCAATTTCTCATTTAACATTTTATTATGTTTACTTTCTCATTCTCATTCCCTTTCTCACTTCCCTGCCCCCTCTAATATTTTGTATATAGATATCTTTTCTGAACTAGCTATGCATAGGTTGCAGCCATAATGCTCACTTTTCTCTAAATACTTCAGTTTGTATTTCCTAAAAATAAGGATACTCTCTTTTATTACCATAATACAATTATTTTAAATTAGAAAATTAATATTGGTAACTCCTATTATCTAGTATTACAGACCTAATTCAAGTTTTGCCAGTTGTCTCACTGATACTCTTTATGGGAAAAGAAAAAGATTTTCTTCCTGTTCTAGGATTTAATCTAGGATCACACACTACATTTGATTGTCATCTCTTGAGTCTTGAATTTGCAGTAGTTTCTTAGTGTTTGTCTTTTATGACCTTTCCTTTTTCAACAGTGTAGAATATTCAGTACAGGGTCCCTTCAGTTTGAGTTGGCCTTCATGATTAATTGTAGTTGTCAAGAACACCACAATTGGAATTTCTCTGTAGCTCTTTCTTTTTTTTAAAGATTGATTGATTGATTGATTGATTGATTTAAAGGTTTTATTTATTTATTCATGAGAGACACAGAAAATGAGAGGCAGAGACACAGGCAGACAGAATAGAAGCAGGCTCCATGCAGGAAGCCCAATGCGAGACTCGATCTTGGAAGTACAGGATCATGCCCTGAGCCAAAGGCAGATGCTCAACTGCTGAGCAACCCAGGCATCCCTTCTGTAGCTCCTTTCAAGATAATTTTTTTTTTACTTTTAGTTTTTGAAGGTTTGATTATATTGTGTCATCTTATACATTTCCTTTAGGTTATCCTGTTTGGATTTGCTCAGCTTCTTGAATCTGTACGCTTATGCCTATCACCAATTGTAGAAACTTTCATCCATCATTTGAACATTATTTCAGTTATTGGATTTTTCAGCTTTATAATTTTCATTTCCTTCTTTTTTTTTAATCTCTTCTGTTTCTTTGCTATGGTTTTATTTTTTCCAAAAGTGTTTTAATTGCTCATTGAAACATTTTTATATGGCTGCTTTAAAATCCGTGACAGGTTATTCCAACAACCTGAATTATCTCAGTGTTAGCCCCTGTTGTCTTTTCTCATTCAAGTTGTGATTTTCCAGAATGGTTTTGATTGTATCTTGAACATTTTGATTACTGTGTTAGAAGATTCAGAATCCTATTTAAGTGTTCTTTTTTAGCAGGCATTCACTTTTGTTTAGTTTTAATGTGAAGGCCTTGGTCCAGTTTTGCCAGCTTTGGTTCCAAAGACCGTTTTATTTGCAGAGCCCTTGAATTCTGATATGCTTCATTTGGTGCTACCCATATGAGAAAAATTTGTATTCTGCTCTTGATAGATGAAATCTTCTGTACAGGTCAATTAGGTCTAATTGGTTGATAGTGTTATTTGGATCATTTGTATGCTTACTGAGTTTCTGCCTATTCTATCAATAACTAAGAGAGGAGTGTTGAAATCTCCAATTATAATTTTAGATTTCTCTCTTTCTCATCAGTTTTATCAATTTTTGCTGCATAAATGTGATGCTCTGTTATTAGATGCATACATATTAGATGCATTCACATTTGATATGACCACTTTATCATCATGTAATGTACCGTTTTATCCCTGGTAATCTTCCTGTGTCCTGAAGTCTCCTTTGTCTGAAACTAATATAAGTACTTAGCTTTCCTTTGATTGCTATTTGCATATAATGTATTTCCATCCCTTTACTTTTGGCCAAGTCTTTATATTTAAAGTAGATTTCTTACAGGTAACAAGTAATTGGGTCTTGCTTTTTCATCACATATAACAGTGTATAAATTTTAACTGGTGTGTTTAGACCATTCTCATGTAAAGTATTGGTATAGTTGGATTAAATTGTACCATTTTGCTGTTTTCTCTCTGTTGCATCTTTTGTGCTTTGTTTCCTTTTATTACGTTCTTAATTTTAGTTGAATGTTTTTCTGTGTTCATTTTATCTCTTCCATAGATTTCTCATTTATACTTTTTGTTCTTCCTTTTTTTTTTTTTTAAAGAGAGAGAGCTTGGGGGTGGAGGGGTGCAGTGGGCAGAAGGAGAGGGAGAGAGAAAATCCTAAGCAGGCCCTGAGATCATCACCTGAGCTGAAATCAAGAGTTAGACACTTAACTGACTGAGCCACTGAGGTGTCCCCTATCATTTACACTTTTTTTTTTTTTTTTTAGGTTTTATTTATTTATTCATGACAGAGAGAGAGAGGCAGAGACACAGGCAGAGGGAGAAGCAGGCTCCATGCAGGGAGCCTGATGCGGGACTCTATCCCAGGTCTCCCTGATCACACCCCAAGCTGAAGGTGGCGCTAAACCGCTGAGCCACCGGGGCTGCCCCATTTATACTTTTAAATTATCTTTTCAAGTAGTTTTTTCTGGGATTCATGACATGCATATTTAAATAATGTTAATCCACTTTCAAGTAATTTGATGTTTCATGTGTGTTAAAAGGACCTTATAACAGTATAGTCCCAATTCCTTCTTCCCATCTCTTATGCATTGTTTTCATATATTTTGCTTTTGCATATGCTATAGAAACCCAGGACATTGTACTCTGATTGCTTTATCTATTTTCTTTTTTAATGTGGCTACTAGAATTTTTTTTTTAAGATTTTTATTTATTCATGAGAGGCACAGAGAGGGAGAAGCAGGGTCCATGCAGGCAGCCCGATGTGGGGCTCGATCCTAGAACTCCAGGATCACGCCCTGAGCCAAAGGCAGACAGACACTCAACCACTGAACTACCCAGGCATCCCTAGAATTTTTTTTTTTTTTTTTTTTTGCTACTAGAAACTTTTTAATTACTTACATGGCTCACATTATAGTCTATTGAACAATACTGTTCTAGAATTCTAGCTATCATCTATTTTACTAACTCCTATCATTGGTTTTCCAATTCTGTTGTTGATCCTATTCGTTATATCATGCCCCATTCTCAACTCTTCTTTCTAGACTTTGAGTCTAGAAAGTGTTTCCCCACTTTTTTGTCCTAGTGTCTAGACTGAAGGATTTCTGTTTTTTTTTTTTTTTTCAATATCTCTGAAGGGAAAACTAGAATAGGATTGAAGTGGAAAGGGAACTATGATATACTCTTTTTAAGGCCTCTGCGAGGCATTTTTCCTATCTTCCTGAGATTGCCTATACCAGTGTTTTTCAGTGTGGTCCAGGGACTGTGTCAGCCAGGAGTAGGGCCCAGGAATCTAGGTGAGGTTTATGTATACTGAAGTTCAAGACCCACTTACTGCCTTTGGCATTTATTGTCATGGATTATAGTCACTCATGAATAAATTTCATCTTCCTACTAGATTATGATTCCTTTTTTTTTTTTTTTAAGATTTTATTTATTTATTCATGAGAGACACAGAGACCTAGGCAGAGAAAGAAGCATGCTTCCTGCGGAGAGCCAGATGCGGAACTCGATCCCAGGACCCTGGGATTATGACCTGAGCCAAAGGCAGATGCTCAACCACTGACCCACCCAGGAGTCCTAGATTGTGATTCCTTGAAGGACTAGATTTGTGTTGATAGTCTCTAAGCTTATCAGTTGAATTTCTTTTCCTTTTTCAATCATTTCTATTTAACCTGTAGTTGAACTTTGGTTTTCAACATACTTCTTCATTTGGTTTTCTCACAGCTGTACCATCTAGTGGTAATAGAGGGTAACTTTCATTCACCAAAATTTAAAGTCTTGAGAGGACTTTAGTTTTATATCAGGGTTATATTACAGGGTACTGTGTGTGTTAGGTATATAGTTTGTCACACCCTAATATAATCGTCTTTTAATTATTAGAAAACTTTATAGTTGACTTTGTTTTATAATATTTATAATTTTTATGATTTATTTAAGGTCACAGGCAAGGCAAACCTGCCTAAGAACAGAAGGCTAGACTGATTCTGCACAGTTTAGGGACTAGACTAGAGGCGGTAGGTGATGCCCTTAAAATAATATATTCTAGTAGGAGGAATAAAACACATGGACAGATTTTATTTTAGTAACTGTATAGTCATTACTCTTAGAGGTACAAAGTAGAGCATCCTATCTGGAGGAGAGCTGGGAAAGGTTTTATTGGAAAAGAGACATTTCCAAAGGTATTTAATGGCAGATACAGTATCAGTCTGCTGTGAAAAGACACTGGCCAAAGCATCCATTCTCAATGAAGAAGATGAATTAAAAACATGGGCCCTGGAGCCTGCCTGGGTTCAAATATGCCATTTTTAAATTGTGTAATCTTGGGCAAGTTATGTATCTTTTGAGTCTAGTTTTCCATTTTAACAGTGTTGTTCTCTTTTTCTATAGGAAATCTAAGGATATAATCAGCAAAACAGCCTCTTATGGTACACAGTTTTGTGCTGATTGTGATGGCTTATCACAGGAACTCAGACACTTTAACCAAGAGGGTACAAAATTGGTTGAAGAGTCTATGAAACACTGTGATAAACTTAATAGCAACCTTAAAGTAGTATCTCAAGAGACTGAACAGAGATGTGAGGCCCTGAACACAAGCACACTTTCTTTTTCTGAACAATGGGTATCTTGCTTAAATAAAAGGGATGAAGAACTTCAGAACTTATTGGAGGTAATAACTTTGTAATTGGAACCTACTTTGGATAGAATAGTGATAATCAAAAAATTAAATATTCTTAGCTAAGAATTGGTTTCAAAATTGATATTTTAAAATGATGAATGAATTAAATTTTTAAGCATAATAATTGTATGCTTATATATGATCTAATTTCACATACATTTGCTAGAGCTTGAAATTATTTAATACTTGTGTCTGATCTGTCTTGTATCTATCCATGGTTTTTTACTTGTTCTTTCAGTTAAGGGCACCCTGTTTTTTGAATATAATTCAAACCTGTTATTGCTTTAACTATGTAGGATATTGTTCTGATTGTTCAAAGGATACTTGATAGGTTGTGAGTTTGCTTGATCTTAATACTTGCATAAGCCCTTTGTGGGTTGGTTTTTCTTCCTGTGCTATTAAAGAATTTTACTAATATTCTCAGGAACTAGGTAAAAGCATGTAAGTTAAGAAAAAGAAAAAAAAGAACATAAGTATTTTAAGCCATTTAAGCCATTTTTACCAAAAGGAACCAGGACTGAGAAGTAGCTGATTTCAAGTTTGAAACAGGAAATATACCAGATAAGCCTAGAGATCTTGTCATACCAGAAAGTAAGGGAGCTATTAAAAAGATTAGTGGAGTTGTATCAAAAAGACATAGAAACCCACTTGATGACACTCCTTTGTTTAAAGATGGTATAACTTGAGTATCAAAAAGAATAATTGCTATAATTAAGATACATTAAATATATTAAGCTTAGAATTTATAAAAATTTCATAGGTCTCTTTTGGGTCATGCTAGGGAAACAGGGTATTATTCTGAAAACTGGTAAATAAAGGGAAACAGTTGAGCATCCATATGTGTGTGTCTTTGCCGAATGAATTTTATCTTGGTTTAGCAGGATAGTGGATTAGTAAAAGAACCCCAGCTAATGCAAAAGAAGTGACAGAATTTGAAAGTCATCATTTTGCAGTCCTAGTGAGATAACCCCTGTGGACATGACTGTCTACACCACTTGAGAAAAACTGATGGAGAATTTTTTTGTTTGTTAATTTTTTTAAGTTTATTATTATTTTTTAGTAGTTTGTATACCCAAAATGGGGCTTAAGCTCATGACCCCAAGATCAAGAGGCTCAATGCTGACTGAGCCAGCCACTCACCCTTTGATGGAGAACTTTATAATTAATAGAATGATCACATTCAAACTCAATCATCTTTTTTTCTTTCTACTAGTATTTTATTTTATTTTATTTTTTTAAGATTTTATTTATTTATTCATGAGAGACACAGACAGAGAGAGAGAGGCTAAGACACAGGCAGAGGGAGAAGCAGGCTTCATGCAGGGAGCCCGACCTGGGACTCGATCCCCGGTCTCCAGGATCACACCCTGGGCTGCAGGCAGCGCTAAACCGCTGCGCCACCGGGGCTGCCCATATTTTTTATTTTTTTAAGTAAACTTTACTCCCAACGTGGGGCTTGAATTCACAAACCTGAGATCAAGAGCTGCACGCTGCACTGACTGAGCCAGCCAGGTCCCCCAACTGATTAGTCTTAACATGAGAGATAAAACCAAACATTAAGTGCTTTTAGCACCACCTATAGAATATTTTTGCCAAACAGTTAAACCTGATTTTAGATCAAGCATTTGGATCTATTTACTTTGTAGAAAATAGAGAGTACAGATGAACATATGGAAATATGGTGTAGAGATACAATTGACCAGATCCATAATTTGAGATTCCCAGCAAAGCAAAAACCTGGTTTTTTCAACAGTAAAAATTCTTTTCAAGGAGAAAAGTGTGAGGAAAGATATACTATATCATAAGAGATTTAAGGCCAGAAGGTCTTAAATCTTAGTTTGCCTGGGATAGCCTTGTTTACATCTATTGTTTGGAGGTAATTGTTGGCTAAGAGTGGCGCTTTTCATTCTGAAAAGTATCCCATTTTGGGTGATAAATTATATAGTCATCTAGGTAAGATATATATCAACCAAATCTATGATAAATTCAAACAAATTGTAAAAAACATTTGAGATAATTGGTGAAGTTTGCATACTGATTAGACATTTGGTATAAAGAAATCAAAGTTAAATTATTTTTTTTTATTTTTAAAAATATTTTATTTATTTATTCATGAGAGAGAGAGGCAGAGACACAAGCAGAGGGAGAAGCAGGCTCCATGTAGGGAGCCCAATGTGGGACTCGATCCTGGGTCTCCAGGATCACACCCTGAGCTGAAGGCTGATGCTCAACCACTTAACCCAAAGTTAAATTTTTTAGATGTGAGAGTAGTCTTAAGCTCTTACTCTTAGTGATGTATGCTGAAATAAATGGAATGATACAGGATTTGCTTTAAAATAATTCTAAGGAAAAAAAATTCTATGGGAGGAGGAGTAGGTGATTAATCTTGTTTGATCTATACCCCATGTGTTGATTGATGTTGAGAATGGATAGTCAATTCAAGGGGATTAATTATACTATTCTATTTTGGCTTGTGTTTTTAAAACTTTTTACTATGGAAAATTTCAAGATGCGGGGAAATAATATATTGAATAAAACACTGACAACTTTGATTTTAATGATGAAAGCTCATTTGTATCATTTACAGGTTGTAAACCAAGATTGTGAGGCTTCAAGTTCAGAGATTACTGAAAAATTAACTGAACATAAAGCAGCTAATGAGAACCAGCGTAACATTATTTTTGGTCAGATAACTACTGATGAAGAAAAATTAATGGCACAAAGTCTAGAACTTAATGAAACCATAAAAATTGGTTTAGCTAAGCTTAATTGCTTTCTACAACAGGATCTGAAACTGGATATCCCAACAGGTACTTTAAAGTCAAAGAGAACTCTTTAAATTTTTGAAGTTGAAGTCAACCTTCTACTGTGGCAGATTTTCAAAAAAACCAGGTCCTGTCATTTTCTGGTAGGAATTTATCAAGATTAGATGTCATGATATAGGTGATATGTACTTGTAGAAATTTGGGCATTGCCATCTAATAAATTTTACAAACATTTAGGGAACTGGCTTTGTTAAGAGAAGATTTTTATTTATTTATCTTTACGTTTAATAATTTATTTATGTATTATTATTATTTTTAGAGATTTTATTTATTTGAGAGAAAAAGAGCATGAGTCGGGGAGGGGCAGAGGGAGAAGCAGACTCCCTGCTGATCAGGGAACCCAATGTGGGGCTTGATCCCAGAGCTCTGGGATCATGACCTGAGCCAAAGGCAAATGCTTAACCACTTTTAAAACTTTTAAAAAAAAATAAGTATATATACATATATATCAATTATAAAAGGAGATGATGCTAAAGAATGTTAGTTTTTTTTTTTTCCACAGGAGTCTGGTAATTACACTTTCCAAGAAATAAGGAATATAAATGTTAAGCAAAAAACAAGTGCTTGTGTAAAATATGAGAGCACGATTTCATTATAAAGAAATGTAATTGGGGGGCATCTGGAAGTCTCAGTTGGTTAAGTGTCTGTCTTCAGCTCAGGTCATGGTCACAGGGTCCTGGTATCGAGCCTCATCAGAGTCCCTGCTCAGCGGGGAGTCTGCTTCTCCCTCTCCCTTTGTTCCTCCCCCTGCTTATATGCTTATTCTCTCTCTCTCTCTCTCTCTCAAATAAATATAATCTTTAAAAAAGAAAGAAATGTAAATGGTTAATATTTAGCTGCCACCAAATTTACAGTGAAATGATTTTCCTATCAAAATGATCTCGTTGGGAAAACTAGACTCTTTTCCCAGTAATGCTGCCATTTCTCAGAACACTCTGATTCCTTTTAGAACCTATAATACATCTTTTGTACATCCATAGAGATGGATAATTTCATGTTTGGGGGTAGGTTGAATCTTGAAAATAGCTGAATCTATCTAAGGTCATTTGTCAAGTTAGGAAATAGTAGTTTTTTGTTTTTGTTTTTTTTTTTAATAAATTAATTTTTATTGGTGTTCAATTTACCAACATACGGAATAACACCCAGTGCTCATCCCGTCAAGTGTCCCCTCAGTGCCCGTCACCCATTCACCCCCACCCCCCGCCCTCCTCCCCTTCCACCACCCCTAGTTCGTTTCCCAGAGTTAGGAGTCTTTATGTTCTGTCTCCCTTTCTGATAAGGAAATAGTAGTTGTAAGCAATATATGCCTGACAGGTAACAAGATTGATACCCATGTGTGGCAATGGTTATGTCTTCGGTAGACAGACTCAACTGAGAAGTATATATTCTAGCATAAAAAAAAAAATCTTGTTTCTATCCCACCCTTCAATTTTTTACCATTTATATAATGTCCACTAAAGGTATGACACCACAAAGGAAAAATTACTTATACCCATCAACACTGGTGAGAACCGAACCACGTGAACAGCTTCTGGACCAGTTGAAAAGGAAACAACCTGAACTGTTAATGATGTTAAAGTGTTCAGAAAATAACAAAGAAGAGATCAATCAGGTAAAATTTAAAGCATCATCATTTTAAAACTCACATAAACTCCTATGTCATCGATTTCATTCTATGAAGAACTTCATTTTTTGTCCTTTGATCCTATCCTGCCTCACTAATGGTAGTTGTCTGACCCTTAAGCTTATTTCTTTTAATCTGGCCATTTTTTTATTATTAAGGTAATAATAATAATAATGACAACCAGTATTTATGTTGTACTTATTATGTACAAGAACCTATTCTAAGCATTTTACATATATAATTACTCAGTTAATACTCTCAGTAGCCCTATGGAGTGGATGCTAGTACTATCCCCATTTTATAGGTGAGGAAACTAAGAATTACTTTGTCCCAAGTCACAGGATGGAGTTCGAACTAGAACCTAGAAGAGTTCTCCACAATCTGTGCTCTTAACTGTAGTGATTATAGAGAAGTTGGGAAGTAGAAAATAACTGTAATCCCATTATTCTGAGATTACTACTTTTAACATTTTACTTTACTACTTTTTACATTTTACTTCTCTATGAGAAAAGATATTTGGGATTATTTTCATTATTTTTTTAATTAAAAATATTTTTTTAATTTAAGTAGTTAACTTTTTAATTTAAGTAATTTTTTTTATTTTTTTATTTTTTTACTTTAAGTAATCTCTGCACCCAACATAGGGCTCGGACTTATGTCCCCAAGATCAAGAGTCCCATACTCTTCCAACTGAGCCAGCAGCCAACCAGGCACCCCTCCCTCATTATCTTTTAGACTTTTTTTTTTTTTTAAGATTTTATTTATTTATTCATGAGAGACACAGAAAGAGAGAGAGGCAGAGACATAGGCAGAGGGAGAAGTAGGCCCCACGCAGGGAACCCAATGTGGGACTCTATTCCAGGTCTCCAGAATCACGCCTGGGGCTGAAGGCGGTGCTAAACCACTGAGCCACCTGGGCTGCCCTCTTTTAGACTTTCTACTAATTTTGTTGAGGTTTAATTTTTATACAGTGGACATTGTGTAATTTTCAAAGAAGAAAGCTGCACTTACTTTTGTGAAGATTTCTAAATTCTTGGACTTAATCACACATCTGCCTTCTTATTTTAGGACTTGGATGAAGAAAAGTCTGTTCTAGGGCACTCTATTGAAGAACCTGTAAGTCAGGAGTCATCTAAAGATGCTAGTGCGGATTGTTCATCAAGTGGTGGGATTCCATTTTTCCAGGTATGTGATTATATCCTGTCACATAACCCTTCCACATCTGATGTAAATCAGTCATTGGCTATTCAGTGTGAAGGCATTACTCTGGTAGGTAGAACAGCAAGATATTTTGTCATTCCTTTGGGATGGCTTGTTAATTTTTCTGATTTAAATTATTTACACAAATATGATAATTGATCAGGGGTTTTCTTTAGGAAAATTAAATGCAAAGTTTGAGTTAATCTCCATCCTCAGCACTCCTCAGCTATTACAATTAATCTCTTTCTACTTCCTCCATACTCAGAATGGATATTGAGAGCAGTCATTTCTCTCTTCCCTTTACCTTTTACATGGAAGTCCTGGAGTTTGTGTCTCCCATACTCAGACTTTGAAAGCTAAGAAGTTTATTTTTTTTTTTAATTTTTTTACTTAGTTATGATAGTCACACAGAGAGAGAGAGGCAGAGACACAGGCAGAGGGAGAAGCAGGCTCCATGCACCGGGAGCCCGACGTGGGATTCGATCCCAGGTCTCCAGGATCGCGCCCTGGGCCAAAGGCAGGCGCCAAACCGCTGCGCCACCCAGGGATCCCAAAAGCTAAGAAGTTTAAAAGACAGAGACTGAAGGTCTCTCAGGTTATATTAATTTCTCCTACCGTAGAGGCTTTTCTCTTGTTAAGAATTCCCCCATGTTTCCTGATCTCACTTCCCTTGATCTTGTGCAGTTAAATCCTGTGACCTTTCCTAACCCCCCCTTTTTTTTAAAGGATTTTATTTATTTATTTGTTTGTTTGTTTGTTTGTTTGTTTATTTATAGACACAGAGGGAGAGAGGCAGAGACAGGGAGAGGGAGAAGCAGGCTCCATGCAGGGAGCCCGATGTGGGACTCGATCCCGGGTCTCCAGGATCCCACCCCAGACTGCAGGCGGCGCCAAACCGCTGCGCCACCAGGGCTGCCCATCCTAACCCTTTTTCAACACTGTTGGCAGCATGGCACTATAAACTGCCCAGCATTTTTCCCTTTATTTTGAATACATGAGCCTAAATATAGTCTGTGATGGAAGGATTTTCTCACATGAGACATTGATATCTACATTTTACTGTTGAAGGGCTGCTTCTGATAAGCCTATGTTTTTATACCTCTTAGACTGGCAGGTCTTCCCAGCAAGGCCTAAAGATCCTCCATCCATGATTTAAGCTGTTAAAACTTCTAGCTTAATTTCTGTTAAATTCCTCTCTCTTTGTCAAGATAATTTTATCCCCAAATCATCCCTGCCTTTTGCTTTATTCTTTACTACTAGAGAACTCTAAATATATTTCTTTCCATTTTTCAATCCTCTCTTCTATCTTTAAAGGTAAGGAAAGAAGGAAAGTTAAGAACAGAGAACCTTAGTTACTACTGAATCCCCGGTTGGAAATCCTTTCATTATTACTGTTTATGGCATTTTGAAGACTAGGCTTAGTGGTTGATCTATGGCAGGGAAGGCCCTACAGTATCAGAAAAGACTTGGGATTGGATTTTACACCTTCAGCTGAAGTCTGAAATTTTTTTTTCCCTGCTAGCAGTCTCATGGAGAAATTTTCTGGGTTTGAAATTCTGGAGGTGGTTTATGATTTGTCTTATCATAGATGACTGGATTCTGCAATGAATGTCATTAGTCTCTTAAAGCCTTCTATGGGCAAGTATGAGAATTCTAGTGAAAAATAATTCCTAAGTGAGAAATATGAAGTAAGTTTTAAAAGAAAGGGTAAAAGACAGTTAAAATGTTTTGAGGTAGCCATCAGATTCTCTGCTTAAGATAGAATTCCTTTTTTTTGCATGATATCAAATCTTTGTTTTCCTAGAGCAGGATTTCTTAATAGCAGCACTATTGACTGTTTGAGCTGAAAAATCCTTTGTTGTGGTGGACTAACTTGTATGTTTAACAGCATCCGTGGCTTCTATCCACTAGAAGCCAGTAGCAGTTCCTAGTTTTAACAACCAAAAATGTCTCCAGATACTACCAAATATACTCGGGGGGGGGGGAGGTAAAATTGCTCTCTCTTGAGAACTACTTCCCTACAGTAAAATCCATAATTTTGCCTTGAAAAATCATGCATAAAGTTAATATTTCATTCACTTCACTCCTTCCATTGATGGTTAGTTGAAGAAGGCATTCATTTCTACTTGACATACAAATTGTTGGCTCCAATTTGTGCTGAGCCTTTTCCACACTTAATTTCTTGCTGATAACTCAGAGAACTTTGAAAATAGAGTATAGCTAATATGTATCAAATGTTACTTTATATTGATTTAATTTCTCCCTTGATGTCCACAGCATAAAAAACCACATGGAAAAGACAAAGAAAACAGAGGCATTAATTCAGTGGAGAGGCCTAAAGTGGAAGAAACTACAGAGCATTCTGTTACAAGGAGCAGATTACCTCTACGAGCCTAGATAAATCTTTAGTTAACTTGAGGATCGGTAATTCTATTTTTAAGAAAAATGAAAAATAAACCTAGAACTCCAGAACTTGAGCCTTATGTATAGACAAAAAACAAATGGAAAATATCAAGGCAATACTGTATATTTAGTTGAATTTAAAATGTATACTCATTTTTCTATCATCCCTGTAGTACACTGTGTATTAAGTTGGGTTTTATTTGGGATTTACATTGAGTAAATATGTATTTTTAGCTTTCAACATAAAATAGCCCTTTCCTAACAAATGAAAAATATTTTTCTTATATATCACTAGGCAGCACATATAGAGAAGTTGCACCGTTTTCTAGGCTTTAACTTACATAGGTAAATATTGCCAACTCAGTCTTGGGAAGGCACATCTCTTACTTTTCTTGGTGTAATTGAATTATGTCTATATCTGCTTACTTCCTTCCCTAGACTTTTCCATTCTGCATTCTTAGCTTGCTTTCTCCTTTTTCATTTGTGTCCAAACCATTTGTAGAGCTACAAAATGGTATCTATTCATATTATAAGGTATCCTGAATTTTACCTAGAAGTCTTGAACACTTTCTGTGGTGCTATTAAGATTACTGTCAACAATAAACAATTCTAGAAGTATTCCTTCCTTCAATATTTTTAGTTTGTTTCTCCCTAGACGAAAAGCATTCTTTATGAGGCCTAACACATTAGCCCCCACAGAGTTCATAAAAAGCCAGCTTCTCTTCTCTAGAATGTAGATTACTCTTATGGAAGAACTACCATAAGATCTCTGATTAATGGCTGTGTGCCCTATATCTTGTGCAGAAGGTCTCAGTGATTTAAGGGCTTTTTGAAACTATTAATTATGACTATAATTTATATCCTTTTGCTTGCTTACTTGAAACTTTTTGTACTTTGTATATAATAAAAATATGTATATGTATGTTTTTCCTTAGTGAAATCTTAACCCTTAGAAAGGTCCTAACAGTTTTGATCTAGCAGCCAAATTTCTGGAAGCTGGATTTTTCAGCATGAAGAACAAGCACACTTAGAAGGAATATAGGCAAAGAAAAAAATTTGTGCCTACATCAAGTTAAGTGTATAAATTTTAGAGAGATTTGACTGTGATAGCTAAGTAAAGCCAAACCCAACTGGAGAATTAGAAAATGGCTACTTCAAGGAACTAAATTTACCTTGCAAAAGTATTAATTACCTTAATGAAAATAATGCTGCAATTTCTCTGCAAAATCAGATGTCAACATAAGCTATGGATAATATCTAATAAACTGCCCTCAGGAAATCCATTAATAAATTTGGATTCTTTTTTTCTTTTTAAAGATTTTATTTACGTATTCATGAGAGGCAGAAACATAGGCAGAGGGAGAAGGCAGCGAGCCTGCTGCAGGACTCGATCCCAGGACTTGGATCATGATCTGAGCCAAAGGGAGAAGCTAAACCACTGAGCCACTCAGTTGTCCCAATAAATTTGGTTTCTGCATTAACTTACTTGCTCTATTATTTATTTGGCAATGGATCTGTTTATAGAGTTCCAGCAAGTTGTTCTAAAATTCCTAAAATACACTTCCACACAGATAATCACCCAAGATGAAGGACCTTGATAATCCTAGGCTCTTTCAATTGCATTCTAAGGGGCTATACCTTAGTATAAGATTGATGAAAAACAGATGGGTCTTCACAGGGCCTGATGTCCAGCTGTAAGTCATCTGTTTCCTGACATATTAAAGGTACCTAGGAATGCTAATACAACTGACAAAAATAAATCACTGGAGAATTTTAAAAAAAATTATTAAAATAAAATTTTAATGGGGCTCAAACTCACAACCCCAAGATGAAGAGTCACATACTCCACTGACTGAGCCAACAAGGTGCCCCAAATCACTAGAGAATTTTAACATCCCAAGCCTTAAGTTAATTCAACAATTTTTCATATACAATATCAAGCACTTTAAAAATAACCATCAGCAAAAATGGAATAGGTAGCTTCAAGGACTTATTCTTCCTACGGCAAAAATGTTCAGAAACAACTTGGTCAGAACCAGGTTTTGGGGGTTTTTTTGTTTGTTTTTTTTAAAGATTTTATTTATTTATTCATGAGAGACACACAGAGGCAGAGATGTAGGCAGAGGGAGAAGCAGGATCCATGCAGGGAACCTGACGCGGGACTCAATCCTGGGACCATGGGATCATGCCCTGAGCCAAAGGCAGATGCTCAACCGTTGAGCCACCCAGGCATCCCAGAACCAGGTTTATAGCAACCAAGCAAATAGTCAAGAGAAGGCAAACTAAAAACTAGGTGTTTTACTTGCTCTTGCTCCATTACCCCTCCCCGGCTCCACAGTGGTCTTGAAGACAGCAACCCATATTCTCTGAGCAGGCGAACTCTGCCCACTGGTCCTGAGGGAGCAGAGGATCTCTTAACCTCAAAAAACTTTTCTGTCTGGGGCATTCTGAAGGGCTGACAAGGCATTTGCCTTTGTTTCATCTAATTCGCACCTCTGTGGAAAAGTGGCAGGCATTTCTCAAAAATATGATAAGGCAAATGAACAACCTGCTGCTACCTGCGGCAAAAGATAACAGTTGAGGTAACAATAAAGGAGTGTCTAAAGCCTGAGGGGAAAAAAAAACAATCGTTTAGGGAAATGAGGTCATTCAAAGACCATGTATATTGGGGAATTGAGAAAGCCACTCATGTCCAGGTCAATTTATATAGTTAGAGAGGACCCTAAGCTTTCACTGCTGTCTGATCTCTAGGTTCAGCACAGCAGAAAGTGAGAGCTAAGACAGATTTTAAATAGCCTAGCTAAGTACTGAAGGTGTGCTCCAACAGTCTGCAAAGACTGAGAGGATGTTTTCTTAACTCACTGTTTTATTTTTTGGTTATTGGCATTCAAGGAAATCTGTCAGCCTACTAGCTGAATGCAAAGCAAAAAGACTTCAGGAACTATAAGTCAAAGAATTGAGACAAAAATAGTTGAGAAAACAAACCATGAGAGCCTATAGCAAGCAACAAAAACAAACCCCAAGGCATGAAGAATCTGATTTCCAGAATATCACATAATGCTAAGAGCATTTTAAGATTTTATTTATTTGAGAAAGAGCATGTGTGGACGCAAGCAGGGGAGAGGCAGAAGAAGAGGGAAAGAATCTCAAGCAGACTCATCGCTGAGCATGGGCCTGATGCTAGGCTTGATCCCATGACCCTGAGATCAAGACCTGAGCTGAAATCAAGAGTGGGACACTGAGCCACCCAGGTGCACCAATATTAAAAATTTTGACAAAAAAACTAAAGTATGCAAAGAAACAAAGTACGGGCCATTTACAGAAGAAATTGACACAAACCGTCCCTTATGAAGTACAAGCATTGGACTTTAAATGAACCGTCTCAAATATGCTCATAGAACTAAAGGAATTCAGGAGGACAATGTCTCAACAAATAGAGAATATCACTACAGAAACTAAAAAAGAGCCATATATATTTTGAACTGAAAAGTATCAAAACTGAAATGAAAACATGCACACACACAAAACACTAGAGAGTTTCAATAGCAGATGTGAGCAGGCAGTAGAAAGAACCAGTGAACTTGAAGCTAGATCATTGAATCTGTCTAATCCAAATTTCAGAAAGAAGAATGAAGGAAAATAAACAGTTTAAGAGACCTGTGGAGCACAAATCATGCAAACATTCACAAAATGAGAGTACCAGAAAAGAGAAATGGGCAGAAAGAATACTTGAAGAAATAATAGCTGAAAACTTCTCAAATTCATTATAACACTTGAATCTTTACATACAAGAAGCTCAACAAATCCAAACAGGAGAAACTCGAAAGAGATCCCCAACAATTATATATTATATACACATTATATATTCAAACTGTCAATAAAGCTGAAGACAGAATCATGAAAGCATGAGAGTGTAGCTTTCAAGGAAATGTGCATCAAAACCATAGTGAAGTACCAGTTTACATCCACAAGGATAGCTATAGTAAAAACAGAAAAGAACGAGTACTGGTGAAGATGTTGCCATTCACTCTCAAGTGAGTCTTAAAAAAAAAAAAAAAAAAACTCCATCTTTAAAAAAAATCATTCACTCAAAAAAATAGGTACACAAATGTTCATAGCACTATCACAATAGCCAAATAGTATAAACATCCACCAACATATGAATGCATAAAAAAACTATATGCATACAATGGATTATTACCTGGCTGCAGAAATGAAGTACTGATACATGCTACTGTGTGGGTGGAGTAATAAGTGAAAGAAGTCAGATGCAGAAGTTCACATATTGTATGATTCCTTTTATACAAAGTATCCAGAATAGATAAATTCATAGATTTGTGATTGCCAAGGTTGGTTGAGAGGGAAAAGAGGAGTGACTTGCTTAATAAGTATGCAGTTTTAAGATACTGGGAATATATTGGAACTAGATAGATGTGATAGTTGTGAATATTAATATAATAATATATAATATTGTGAATATATTAAATGCTACTGGATTATGTACTTTATTTTTAAATTGAGTTCTAATTGACATAACAGTTTCAGGTATACAACATAATTATTCATTGAGAAATGATGAGTAAACCTTAAAATGATTTATGTTTTGTGATTTTTGACATAAATATCCATTCAAAACAGGGCCCTATTTATTAAAGAAGAGGTAATTAAATCCCAGTGGCATTGATTGTAGGGAGAATTAATTAGCAGATAGGAAAAGAGTTCTTAAACGAATGCTACAGTTTAAAAATGTGAAAGGGGGAATCCCTGGGTGGTGCAGCGGTTTAGCGCCTGCCTTTGGCCCAGGGCGCGATCCTGGAGACCTGGGATTGAATCCCACATCGGGCTCCCGGTGCATGGAGCCTGCTTCTTCCTCTGCCTGTGTCTCTGCCTCTCTCTCTCTCTCTGTGTGTGTGACTGTCATAAATAAATAAAAATTAAAAAATAATAATAATTAAAAAAATGTGAAGGGGTTCTTAGGTGGCTCAGTCAGTTTAAGCATCCAACTCAGGATCATGAGATTGAGCCCCGTGTCAGGCTCTATGCTGGGCATGGAGCCTGCTTAAGATTCTCTCTCTTGGGATTCCTGGATAGCTCAGCGGTTTAGCGCCTGCCTTCAGCCCAGGGCGTGATCTTGGAGCCCTGGGATTGAGGCCCACATCAGGCTCCCTGCATGGAGCCTGCTTCTCCTGTGTCTCTGCCTCTCTCTGCCTCTCTCTCTCTCTCTCTCTCTCTCTCTCTCTCTGTCTCTCATGAATAAATAAATAAAATATTTAAAAATATATATATTCTCTTTCTCCCTCTACCCATCTCCCACCCCTGCCCACATTCTCTCTCTCTCTCTACCCCCCCCCCCGGCTCTCTAAAAAAGTAATAAATAAAAATGTGTACATTGTGTAGTCATAAACACAGCTGTTTAATACTCCTTTGAAAAATAACAGTGTACAAGGATATAGACCTGGGCCAAAAAGAAAAAGATAATGGAAACAAATCACAGAAATTTCAGCAAAGAGAGTTGCAAAACAAGATCCTTTGAAATCAGACATTTAAAGAATTTAAAGACATGAAATACTGCAGATAACTGGAAATTATAAAAAGATGGAAATTCTAGGACTGAAAAATACAACAAATTATAAACAGAGTGGGCTTAGTTATTGAATATAGTTAAAGGGATTTTTACAAAGTGGGTGATAGGGTAGAAGAAAATAATACACTGAAGCATAACAAGACACAAGAATAGGAAACAAACAATATGGTGAAAAGGTCTAACATACATGTAATTAGAGCCTCCGAAGGAAAAAGAGAGAATGACTGAAGCTCTGTTAATCTCAATCAGCAGGATGAATATAATGTCACACCCAGGTACACCATAGTTAAACTGCTAAAAGCCAGTAAGAAAGAAAAAACCTTAAAAGTTAAGACATTACTTTCATACGAAAAACAATTAGGGCGACAGCTGACTTTGCAATAAAAGAAAGGAAGCAGACAACGGAAAGATAGCTTCAAACTAATGAAGGTAAAGTCAGCAGGAATAGTGGAGTAAGGTCCTCCATAAAAGCAAGGAGACACAAAATTTGTCAAGATAAAATTTTTCAGAATTCTCATAATTAACCAAAGCATTGGAATAATCCAAGAAACATATATTTTTTAAAGATTGTATTTTGGTTAGAATAATTAGTTCTTTGGTATTTTAAATTGACCTATTCTCATCACTCTCCCCAGCGCCTTGTTAGCCTTGAAAACTAACAGTCCCACAATCACAGAGAAAACCAGTAGCCTAGT